GGCAGAAAATACAAATATGAAACCTGACAATTAGCATAATTGTATACTTGTTTAACATATGGTTTTATACTTGTTATAATACATGAAAACATGGTTGGGTTGGAGAGTGGATTGAAAGTGCTACACCAGCGAAGATATATATATATATATCCTTTATTTAACCAGGTAAAATAAGTAATTGAGATTAAAATCTATTTTACAAGAGCGACCTGGCCAAGAAGGGCAGCATGAACAAAGTTACAACAGATAAAACACAGACAATACAGGCAGACAAATACAGCTGTAAAACACAAATAAAATGGCACATTAGCCAGTCAAATATGCAACATAAAAGAAACTATTAAAATCATTTAAAACTGGCTAAATTTAAAACGACTTCAATTTTTGGATATACGAGCAATCACATCTACCAATGGTGTCGTGTTCTCTGTCCTTTAAGATGGACCTGAATTCCCCCATAGTGATTAAATCTGAGAGTTTCAGCTCCTTCTGTACATTGTTTTAAGCAGTGGGTGCAGCATATTTAAAAGCTGTTTTACCCAGTTCTGTTCTTAACTTAGGAACCAGCATCTGAATAAAATCTTGGGAGTGCAGGCCATATAGACTTTGTCTTTCACACATAAAGGTGCAAATGTAAGAGGGAACCAGCCCAAGCAGCGATTTATAAATAAAACCCAACCAGTGGGAAAGTCTGCGTGCAGACAAAGATGGCCAATTAGCAGCAGAATATAAAGTGCAATGGTGTACCCGATATCCACATCCAGTAATAAAACATAAAACACAATGGTACACAGTATCCAAACTCTTTAGGCACTGGTCAGAGGCATTCATATAAAGCAGATCAACATAATCCAATACAGGTAAAAACGTTGCAGATATCAATTGTTCCTTGTCTGGAAGGAGAAACAGGATTTATTTCTAAAAAAGAAACCTAATTTTATTTGTAGCTTTGAGACAACATGTTCCGTGTGTAACTTGAAAGACAAGTTCTGGTCAATAATAAATCCCAGATATTTGTAAGTAGTGACCCTTTCAATATCAGTCCCTTGAACAGTAGAATAGAATTCACTTTTTAACTTGGGTAGAACTTTTTAACTTGGATAGAATAGAAGTTAACTTTTTTGCCATTTGAAAATATCATCAGTTTGTATTTTTCTGCATTTAATCCTAACTTGAGTTGATATAAATGGGTTTGAACAACATCAAAGGCAGACTGGAGGAAATCAAGACTTTGCTCTATAGAAGCAGAGGAGTAATAAATAACAGTATCATCTGCATAAAAATGGTAAGCAGCATTTGATACATTATTACAGAGATTATTTACATATATGGTGAAAAGAATCGGTCCTAATATGGAACCTTGGGGCACACGCTTTGCTATCGGGAGGAAGGAAGAAGAGGACCCAGCAAATTGGACGCATTGGTTTCCCGCTGATAAATAAGCCTAGATAAGCCGATACTGTGAAGTCTTTCCGCCAGGATTATATGATCAACTTTGTCAAATGCCTTTGACAAATCAATAAATAGAGCTGCACAATACTTTTTACAGTCCAATGCCTCAATTATGTTGTTCACCACTTTAATAGCAGCAGTTGTTGTGCTGTGTTGTTTTCTAAAACCGGATTGGTGCTCTGACAAAATATCATTTGTGTCCAAGAATAATTTAAGTTGTTCACTGAGAAGCTTTTCAAGGACCTTCGCTACAACACATAATTTTGAAATTGGCCTATAATTATTAACAGATGAGGGATCCCCTCCTTTCAGTAAAGGAAGAACATATGCAGATTTCCATATGTTAGGAATCTCATTGTTGGAAAGAGTTAAATTAAAAAGATAAGTAAGCGGCTCAGCTATAAAGTCTGCTGCTAATTTAAGAAAATGAGGAGGAAGTTTGTCTGGACCTGCCGATTTGTGTGGATCCAGATTCTGCAATGCTTTATGGATCTCTGTCGCCTCGATAAAAGTGAAATTTAATGGCTGAGCCATGGGATGGGATGGAGGTGGTGAGGAATCAACGTTTTGTCCAGGGTCCGAATGTAGGGATTCAAAAAAGAACCAGATGAAATAAAATGTTCATTAAAGCCGTTGAGAATGGCCGATTTGTCAGTGAGAGTTTGCGAGTCTGTAACAATGCAGGCTGGTAATTCATTTTTAGTTTCTGTTCCAAATGAGTTTTTTATTACCTTCCAAAATGCTTTGGATCATTTAAGTTATAGTAGCATTAGAGATGTAGTACTCAGATTTAGCCTTTTTAACGAGGAAGGTAAAACGATTTTGGAGCTGTCTAAAAACAATCCAATCCGCTTGGGATTTCGATTTTCTGGCGCTTGACCAGGCAATACCCCTTTCCTTTAGAATGCTGGCCAGTTGAGGGACTAATATAAGCCAGGGATGTTTTAGCCCTCTCACCCTAAATTTGCGGAAAGGACCATGTTTGTTTATAATTCTAATAAAAGCCTCATGAAAATAATACCATGCCAGTTCAACATCACTA